CTTTATTACTTGTATAAATGATGCCTAAAGTGGGACCAGAACTCACAATTTCCTGGAGTCTTGTCTGGTACCTTAAGTTGTACCAAACTGACATACACACACACACACACACACACACACACACACACAAACAAACAAACAAACAAACAAACATACACAGAGTAAGAATTGTTACTTTAATACATTACTTTAATAAGTTAAAGGTGAAAAGGGTATGTTTAATTGAGATTAGCAAACTTTTATTTAGTTATGTATTTATTTCTTTATGCATACATAAATGTATGACTACAAATTGGGCTGGAGTTATGTATGTATATTTGTTTCTTAGAATAGAGTGATGTTTTAAATATGTTCAAATATAGACAAATACAATATACAATTGTTTATAATAAAACTATAGAAGTATAGTTTTAGGGATTCTTCCTTCCTTGTAAGTTGTTTCTAACTATGGATTTTATGAGTAATAGAAAAGTTTCTGTTATGCCTAATTTGTAAAAAAAAAAATGTGTACAGAACATAGTACATTCATAAGGATATGCAAGAAAAGACTTGTTGTTTTTCAGCAGCCTTATACACAGAGATGTTTGAAAACACTATACAGGTAGTCCTCAATTTACGACCACAATTGAGCCCAGAATTTATATTGCTAAGTGAGAAATGAGTTAAGTGAGTTTTTTCCCATTTTATGACTTTTCTTGTCACAGTTTTTAAGTGAATCACTGCAGTTGTTGAATTAGTAACACGATTGTTAAATGAATCTGGTTTCCCCATTGACTTTGCTTGCCAGAAGGTCACAAAAGGGATCACATGATTCCAGGACACTGTAACCATCATAAGTGTGAGTCAGTTGCCAAGCATCCAAATGTAAATCATGTGTCCATGAGGATACTGCAACAGTCATAAATCTGAAAAATGGTTGTGTCACTTTTTTTCAGTGCCGTTGTAACTTCGAATGGTCACGAAACAAAATGTTGTAAGTCGAGGTCTACCTACATGAGTGGTCAAGGACATTTTTTTTTTCAGACTTTAGCATTATTGAAGTTCAAAAATATCCTTGGAATTAATATATAAACCCAATTAAATAACCAGACAGAATATGCTTGTGTATCCTATTCTTTTGCACTCTTGACCAGCTAGACAAAGCTTAATCTTAATGAGAAATCATTAAAATTGTTTATGAATCTATCAAGCTTTGTGTGATATAGTTCATTCCTCAAACCATAGAGAGACATTACTGTACACCTGTGAGAATGCAGTGTAACTTTATAAAGTCCCTAAAACAGTGTTTCTCATCCTTGGTGACTTTAAGTCCTGTGGACTTCAACTCCCAGAATCCCCCAACCAGGACTTAAAGTCGCCAAGGTTGAGAAACACTGCCCTAAATGGTTTCACAAGGATTTGAATAAACACTAAGCTACACTGAGGTAAAGCTTTTTTATTTTGTCTGTTAAAGGACAAATTTAATTTTCTCAACATCATGCTGTCATTATCACTATTGCTGCAGCTGGAGAAAATAATAATATTGAATGAAGCATAACTTAGTTTTAAAAAAAACTAACCAAAAATTGGCATTTTGGCCAACGCTAAAAGCCATCCACTCATCCTGTAGGTCTCTAGGTATTAAAGCTATCAAAATGTTATGCATACTAGTTGGAACTTATAAATCAGCTTTGTAGAGAACTGGAATTGTTATGCACATATGGGTTACATTACTTAATGGGGTTCTTGGCTGAAAAGAACATACCAAATACAAGTGAAAAAAATCAGTTTCCAGAATAGAAGAATGATGGAAATGATTTAAAGGGAAGGCGGATTTTGGCATTGCACATTCTTTAGCTTCTTTGATTAATTGTATCTGGTTTCTAAAATAATGGGTTTCCTGTAACTTGTTTCATAGAATTATCGCTCTATATTGTCATGGCCAGATAGCTGAGCAGCATTATTTTAATATTGTTGTTATGCATATGTTATTGAGAAGCACTATGATAGTATATGACTGGCTTACTGAAATGTATATGATATATTTCAGGAGGATGGGTGGGAGATAATGTAACTTGGTTCTAAAGCTTGATTAATTTCAGTAATTTTTAAAACCCTCACAGGAATAACTATATTTAGAAAGCCAGATGGCAATTTGGCCAACAGAAAGATAGAATATTTCTTTTTATTCATAATATTATTTAATATCAAGGTTTTCAGTACCAAAGTAAGGTAGACCTCCTTTCTTTGTGCTTTGGGTATATGGTCTTTGCTTTTGTGGTTTTACAGTGAGGAGAATTATCCTAGTAGTAGTAGTAGTAGTAGTAGTAGTAGTAGTAGTAGTAGTAGTAGTAGTAGTAGTAGNCAGCTGACAGCAGTTCTGCAGTTCGGCTGTTCAAATCTCACCGGCTCAGGGTTGACTCAGCCTTCCATCCTTCCGAGGTGGGTAAAATGAGGATCCGGATTGTTGTTGGGGGCAATATGCTGACTCTGTAAACCGCTTAGACAGGGCTGAAAGCCCTACGAAGCGGTATATAAGTCTAACTGCTATTGCTATTGCTATCAAGATCCATTATTTCTATCAGCCAAAAATATTGGGCATTCCTGAATACAGGTAGTCCTCAACTAACCACTTTTGTTTAGTGACCGTTCAACGTTGCAATGGCACTGAAAAAAGTGACTTATGACCATTTTTCACAGTTATGACCTTTGCAGCATTCCATGGTCATGTGATCAAAATTCAGATGCTTGGTACCTGGTTCATATTTATGACCATTGCTCTATCCAAGATCGTATGATCACCTTTTGCAATCTGAAAAGCAAGGTCAATAGGGAAGCCATATTAATTTAACAACTGGGTTACTATTTTATCAGCTACAATGATTCACTTAACAACTGAGGCAGAAAGGTTGTAAGATGGGGCAAAAGTCACTTAACAAATATCTCACTTAACAATAGAAATTTTGGGCTCAATTGTGGTCATATCAGAGACTACCTGTAGTGATGTAGAATCCAGTAGACAAACATAAAACTTTCACTTGTAAAATTGGGCAAATTAAAAATCTTAATTGTAAATTTGCAGCTATAATTTTGTTTAGACAAATAATACAAATGCTAATAAATAATAAAAAGAGGATCAGTATGGAAATATTAAGAGCAATAGTGATCTTGTTAATTTTATGTTAGTTGTATATTTAGGAAGTGTTTCCACACAAGTTGCCATTTGTCAATTTTCCTTTTATATCTTGTTTTCTCCCATTTTTTGACTTCTTGCTGTCATGTTCCAGGGTCAGTGATATTTATATATAGTACTGTTCTACATAAGAAAATCTGCTTCTTTTTAAACCAAAGTTTGGTTTCCTGTTTAAAAGTTTATTATATTTATTTATTTTTCTTCTGAATTCCTACTTCACTTGAAAGTCTGACTGTTCCCCAAAGAAGAAAACCATTCTAAAAATATTCTGCAAGTTTAAAATTAAAGTTAAAACTTTAATCTAACATTTATTTATTTAACTATTGCTTCTTCTGATCATGCTACATAAAAAGATTGATTCTGATTGTGTCCTGCAGGTTTCTCTTCCTGTCATAAATACTGCAACAAGCACTCAACCCAAATCAAGCTATATGAACTTCACTCTTCAGGAACAGGTAGACTTTTAAACTATAAATAAAAACAAGGTTTTTTTATTCTTCACAGTTTATCTCCCATCTTTATTACTTGTATAAATGATGCCTAAAGTGGGACCAGAACTCACAATTTCCTGGAGTCTTGTCTGGTACCTTAAGTTGTACCAAACTGACATACACACACACACACACACACACACACACACACAAACAAACAAACAAACAAACAAACATACACAGAGTAAGAATTGTTACTTTAATACATTACTTTAATAAGTTAAAGGTGAAAAGGGTATGTTTAATTGAGATTAG